TTGAACACATCTACATTAGGTTTGGGGTCGGGCTCCTCCTTGGGGACTGGTGGCTGTGCTGTAGTCGTGGTCGTCTGGGAAGAAGCAACGGCTTCCTCTGCCACGCACACGGACGGGCAGCAGCAGCACAGGGCAAGCACCAACAGGGCGCACAGCAGACGGCACATCATCATCGTGAGTGTGGTCGTTCAGTGGTGTGGAGCTGATCTGCACAGTGAGGGAAATGGAGAGCAACAGGGGAGACGAGAGGTGCGGCAGACACACACAGAGGGCACACCACATGAGGAGAGGGCAGCAGCCAGGCATGCACCGTACGCCGCACACCACGCACGACACACACTCCAATCCACGGCAGCAGGCACACACACACACAGCCCTGCCGCAACACCAACACACAGATGGAAGAGGGAGAAGCAAACAGGAGCGGCACACAAGGCTCCACCGCATGCACATACGGCGAGAGCGGTCCGTCGTGTCGGCACCCCACACGGAGGGTGCGCACACACAAGAGGAGGTGCAGCGCACACAGCAACACAAATGCAAAGTAACAATACAAAAAGGAGATCCCCGCACACCACGCGGATTGTTGGTCCACGGGAAGTGCAGCCAATATTCACCACAAGCAGTTCATTTGCAGTAGGCCTTCGTCCACATTCATCGCACTCAATTTCATGCAGGCCGGCCACCACCGCAACAGGAGCTGCTGCACACGCAACAGGAAAAAAAACGCAAGGAATGGAATAATGCAAGCAATCATTTATTTGTGTTTCTGTTTGGATGTTGGCGGATGTCCGCATATGTTGGTTTCTTTTCGCAGAGGACAAACCTCCATGCCTGGATCGTGTGTTTCAAGGATTTCGCAGGGTGCACAATTATTTATTTTTTCTGGTGAATGTTTCATGTGTTGGTGCAGCCAATAATTCGGTGTGTGTTGTTCCTGCCTTTCGCTGGTAAAGTGCTGCAATAGATGTTTGTGTTTCCTTTCGTTGCCGTGGCACCTGATTCCTCACCGTTTATTGCGGTGGAAATAAAAATATGTGAGTGGACTCCCACACACCAGAACGCACCTTCGCTCCTATTTATTGCTGCATGGAAGGGCATGTGTGTTTGGTGGTGCCTCGACCATATATTTTGTGGGCGTACATTCCCCTGCAGGCTGAGGGCGGGGTGACGCTCCGTCGCGGTGCACTTCCCTCGCATGCCGCCCACTGCGATTCATCATGCATCACCCCCTCACATACTCCGTGGTGCCACACCGCTGATATTATTGCAGCCGCTGTGACTCCGCGTATTCCACGCATTTGATTGTGCCACAATACATCCGCTCGTGTGGCCGCCGCATCCAAACAGCGGTGCCCAGCACCGTGAGCGGCAGTCCGCATCCTTGCATGTCCCAACGCTGTGGTGTTGGACTGTCAGCCAGGCGTCAGACATCAGGAGTGTCTTGTGCTGGCAGTACAGCACACGGAGCTGCAGTGAATGACTCGGGCGGAGACGCATCTATTTGTCGCAAAGCAGTGAAAAGGAGTCGGGCAAAATAATGCCGGCTGAATGCACGACACCATGTCCACAGCCAAGGCATGCGACGTGATGTGTGTTTCACTGGTGCTGTGGAATGCCTGCAGACGACGTCACTAGTGGAGGCATGCCACCCATGATCAGCGGAAAGACAATAATCGGCATGGGAGGCCACAAAAGGCAGCAACGACGCCAGCAGCAGGAGCAGCTCTCTCTCTCTCTGTTGCCTCCGAGAAGCAATTATTCCACCAGCCACAGCTCACTGTGCCATCGTGACACTCCATGCATGCCGTGGCTGCGTCAACACATCCTGCTACCTGCAGCACCTCAAAAGATGCCTCACTCCGTCCACTGAGTGCATCGGTGTGGGCCGTGCCTCGGCTGTTCGTGAGGACCACAACGATGTGAGGGTCACCGAGTCGCAGCATGTTTGTTGTGACGCTGTTGCATGGCACCTGCACACACACACGTAGCGCCTGCATCCCTCCCTTCTGTGTCCGCCCTCCGCCGGAGTGGCCACACACACGGGCAGCAGCAAAATCACTTCACCCTCGACAATCCAAAATCAACACCGACATCCCTCGCGACGCAAAGATCTCAGTTGCCAGCACGGGCCTCATGCCGCTCTGCCATCGACGCCGAAACACGGCACAGTGCACGCACTTATTTTCCTCGTGTGCAGTCAGCCGTTTGCTTCACACATTCTTCGATGGGATGACGCCCACAAAAGCACGCCACAAAAGCCACTGTGATCGCACAAGCTCTTGCGATGGGCGTCGGTGTGTGCATGGATCCGCTGCTCACACGTGCTGGCAGGCAGCCCGCAGCCGGTGCCCTCGTGCCAGTTCATCGGCTCCAGCACGGAAAAGAGAAAACGGCCTATTCCTCATGCACTTATTCCCACCGGCAGCACCAACACGCTGGTCGCCAGCCGTCATTCCTCAGCACATCTAGGAATGCCGAAAACTGACGTGGAACTGTCAGCCAACAATGCCACAATCCCGCACACATGTCGGCTCCACCAGAGAAGGCACAAATCACAAACAACACCCCTCACGTGTCATCCAAACATCATTCCGACACACCGCGATACGCCAAACAGAAGTATTCGTCACTCCATGCACCTCCCCGCACAATCACATAGTCCATGCACCACGCACGTCAGCGGCTCACACGCAGTCAAACAAATGTCCCTCGGATCAGTGGCCTCCACCTGCTGCGGTGGGAAGTAAAAAAAAAGAGACGAGCAGCCAAACCCCAAAAGAGTGCCACGACTGGCCGCAACTCAACGGAACGCAGTCACCCAAATGAATTCAGTCCTAATGCCCTCAGCCTCCCACCTTCCCCACAAAGCTGCAAAGATTGAAAACAAACGCACCGTCCAATAAACTCTTTGTGCAAAGCCAAAAGAAGCCGCAGTGCCTCCTGCTGCCCTCACAGTCCGTTGATGACGCCTGGATGCGGATGGTCACCCATCGGTACTTCCAAACGACGCCGCACACCCGCGACGCATCCTGCGCTCTGAGACATGCGGCCCTCACTATCACCAGAGACGCCCACGCACCGTCAGCACGCAACAAATCGTCACGAAACGAAGGATAAGTCAGACTGACAGCAAGACACCCGCCGACAAATCACAGCACAAACATCATCACAAGCAGAACCAAAAGCAATGCAGGCCGCAGAGTAACGTGAATCAAATGACGCATGGCGCATGTCAAAGAAAAAAAACTCAGTGGCGTTACAAGAATACAAGAGGCTGGCACTCTCTCAACAATAAAGGAACAGTATAATAATACACAAAAGCAAACAATTTAGGCGTCCACCGTCAAAGCAAGCCAAAAATCAAAAAAAAGGGCAATGAAATGTGTGCACTCAACCAAACCACACGTGAAACAATAAAACAAAACAGAAAGCCGAAGCGTGGGATGACCAGCGCACACACTCTCATTACTCCCGTAAAGCAAAACACACACACACACAGGGAGAGAGAGAGAGGTCGCCCACTCAATGCAATAAAAACAAAACAGAAACAGTTACGGTGCTCCGCCCATGCAGCCAGGCAGGACGGCAGCGGTGCGTGTCGTGCAAAAGAGAGCACCGACGGGCCTGCATGGGTGTGCATGCATATATACAATGGGCACATTATTGTGTGTGCCTCGTGGGGTGAGGTGAGGGCGAGAGTCCATGCAAGGGGACACACACACAGAGAGTGAAGGACGAGTGTGTGTGCGGGCGGTGCACGGCTCTCTCTCCCTCACTCTCACGCGGCCACCACCGCAGCCGCACACGCAACAAGAAGAAGAAGCAAAAGAGAGGTGGTGAGGTGGGAGGCCGCGGTGCTGCTGTCGCTGTCGCCAGGCGCCGCTGGGTTATTCGTTTTGTCTGTGGCTGTAGATGATGTTGTTTCTTTCTCGCTGCCATCCTCTCGTTCATGTTGGTGTTCTCCCTCCGGCACAGCGGCATGAGATGCTGAACCACCGTTCAAAATCTCCGCATTGCCCGCGTCAGCGTCATTGGCGGCAGCAGCAGCATCCGCAAGAGAAGATGGTGAAGTTGTCTCAGCCTGACCCTCAGTTATTGCATTCTGCCTTGCACCCGCTGTTGGTTCAGTGCCTTTTCTGCAGATCTTCTGTTGGCTTCATGGTCGCTGGGACTTCCGTTGAGGATGGCAGTGCGCTGTGTGGTGGTGATTTCGGTGGCGGTTCTGATGGGTCTGCTGGCGCCTCTTATTCTGCTGCTGTTGGCGGCAATTCCTCCCATGCTTCTTTTTTCGTCCGGTGCCGCCTCCTCCTCTGCACCTCCTTGTGCCGGCGGTTTTGGCTGTCGCAGGGGCATTGGCCGTGCTTCTCCCTGTTCTGCTGCACCGGTCGTAAACGTTCGATAATTTCCAGAGAGCGACTTTGAAGCAGACTCTGTGCCCGGATGTCCAGGGGAACGACTGGTGCCTGAAGCAGACAGTCATTCAGGTGCTTCAGCCGCAGGTGCATGCTCTGCATTGTGCGCGCTGCCAGTCAAACATTGCGGATTTCTTTTTGCTCCTTTCACCACATCCCCTGGTCCTCCTGAGCCCATTCTGGCACTCCCTGTACCACGGACACACTCTGTTCAGCGTCAGTCGCTGTTTGAGGCTGCGGTGTTTGCTCTTGACTGTCGCCGTTCGATGCGCCCCGTGTGAGACCCGAGCTGGGTGCAGCCGCATGCTCTGCTGAGTCCTCGGACGGCTGCGTCGCATGTGCTGTTTGTCCTTCTGCTGGCGCTGGTGCTGGAGTTCTCCGTGCGCTCTCCCCCGTCCTGAGCACGTGTGGCCCTTCTCGTTCCTGTTGTGCCCACTCGCTCTGAATATTTGTAACTGACGCGCTGCCTTTCTTTCCATCCCTCTCTTCCACGGTGAGAGTTGCCGACCCCGCAGAAAATTGTGGCGGTTGGGAACACACACTCGACATTGACGGCTCTTCGCCGCAGCATGCTGAGCCTGCCTCCTCCCTTTCTCCTGCCTCACTTCCACCAGCGGGGAGGATCGTCTTGGACGCCGGAGACAACTGCGGGCTGCTGCTTGGGGCAACACCACCACCAGCACCCGAGACAGGGGTACTGCTGGCAGCGTCTGTATCGGCAGCAGAAGATGAAGCCATTGGTGCAGCCCCAC